GGCTGCGGGGGCGGCTGGCGCACCAGGCCAGGCAGGCAGCTCGGGCCTGCCAGTGCCTGCCTCTTCTGCAAGCCCACGCAGGCAGCTTCCGGCTGGCCTGCAGGGGACAGATTTCCTGTTAAGAAAGGAGAGCAGCCTTGTGCCTCTGCTGTGGGGCCTGCCGAGGAAAAGCGGGCCAAGGCTTGGCATGTGTTCTTCTGTGCAGGGCGAGGTGGGCACAGACGACCCGCTGCTGTGGCCTGGAGACAGGCCACCTGTCCTTATAGGCTGCGGCTCATGTCACCGGCACAGGATTCCAGCTCTGTTCCTTTTGGCTTTGGAAAGGATCAGTTTAACCCCTGGTCTACATTTCTCACTCTATAATTGTTCAGATCAATGTTCAAATTAGTTTGACCTTTCTGAACTCGCACTGACCTTTAGAGGAAAGAAGCTACTGCCTGAAAGGTAGGGTTGCTGGGCTCAGATGTGCCGGTTGGGCACTGCGCAAGCACAACTGTGTAAGGAGACACTTTTCACATTAGAGAGGCTGTAGATTTGTGTATTTATTATGTCGCTTCTCCAACAGATGGCAGTGAAGTGTCTGGAGGAAGGGATCCTTTTATTCTAACTTTATTCTGTACACGAAGGTCCTGTACAGGCTAATGGTAGCTACAGGGCCGGAGAGAAAGCCGTTCTAGGGAGAACTTTATAACAGATAAGATGCCAAGTGGTTGAACCATAGGCCGGCTCTGGAGCTGGTATTGGCAATCCCTGTAAGCCACCAGTAAGCCCCAGGTCTTCCAGGCTTGTTCAGAAGAGGAGTGAAGTCTTTGCTGGTCCTCCTCGAACTTGACCTTCATCTCTGTCCATGTTCGCTCCTTGCTCGCTCTCAGCCAGGCTATGAGCTAAAGGCACAGAGCCCCAGGTGGCAGAGCTGCCGCCATCCTGTTTCCGCCTTTGGGAAGCCCTGGTGCAGGCCTCCTTCCCTGTCAGACTCCCAGGCTCAGGCTGGTCACCCAGCGGTGAGGGGACAAGGACAGCTGGCCCTTCCTGTCCACAATGGGCACAGGACAGCTTAGCTCGTAGCTCGGGTGTGCTGGTGTGAGCCTGCGGCCAGCAGCCCCCCAGCTTCCAGGTCACAGAGAGCCGAGCTGCCTGCAGTCCTTGCCCAGACACAGAACAGAGCCGGAGAGCACAGACCTGGGCCGGGGGTGGGGTGGGGCGGGCTGGACCCTGCCTGCCACCTGCTTTTGTGTTGAGCCTGAGCTAAGAGTGGTTTTTCCATCTTTTAAATGGTAGATAAGAAGTCAAGAGGGTAATAGCCATTGACGTATAAAAGTTGTATCAAATTCAGGGCCCATAAATAAAGCTTTATTGGAACACAGCCCCCTCCTGCCGTGTGTGACCCTGGTGCTGTGCTGTGACAGCAGAGACCAAGTGACCTGCAGGACCTCACGTAGTTTCTGGCTGGCATTTTACAGAAAACCTCTGCTGATCCCGGCTTCAGGCAGGGGGAGCCCATGGGAATCCTGGGGAGAGCCCTAGTGTTGAAGACAAGGGACCTGGCCTTGAGCCGCTCTTGCCTTGAGCAGCGGCTTGGGAAGCCACCATGCCCTCCGCGCCTCGTTTCCTTGTCTATGAGAATGTCAGTACCACCTCTGCTGTCGGTGTCACACGCCAGTGTGGGCCTGCAGGCCTCCAAGGCTGCACGTGTTTGTGGTTTGTGATCTGCAAGTGCCTACATGGTTGTTTTGCATCGTTTGTCTTAAAGATGTCATTTTTGTAGCTGACAGGTGGCCCTTGTCCTAGCCTGGGACCCCTCTTTCCATCCTTGCTCCTCATCTCTCTCCCTGTGTCCCTGGGATTTTCAGGGCTTTCTCCTTTCCCTCTGTTGCCAGGGTGGCAGCCCTGTTTCATCAATGGGCATCCGGCCCTTCTACTACTCACCAGACCTAAGCGGTGCCTTCAACATAGGAAGCTCCTACCAAACTCCAGTTGCAAGTTTGTGCTCAGTGAAATTCACAGGAAATTGGAGGGCTGCCCTGTGGGCATGTGGGAGGCAGGCTTAGTGCAAGGTGCTGACACTTTGCCTGCAGTGAAGGTACAAAGCCCTGCTTGATCCATCCGTGCTCTTGCACCAACACATGCAGAAATCACAAGTCAGGGCTGGCCCCAGGCCCTGGGCCTTGTTGCAGAAAACAGCAAGTGAGACAGCTTGGGGAATGTGGAAAAAGGAGGGAGGAAAGCGACATGGGAAACCTCTGTGTCCACGGACAGGGCCTTTGCGGACTGGTTTTGTCAGGTGTCCCTGTCCACCTGCTGCAGCTCTCGTCCCCTCCCCAGCGTGCTGCATGGTCCCTTAAGTCACAGGGATCCTGCTTTGCACCCAGCCAAACACGTGGTGACCCAGGGCCCCATCGTGCCGAACAAAGTCCACAGAAGTCAGGGGAGTGGTTCCCCTTGCATGCCGTCCACTTGCTGAGCCCTGGGGTTACATCCCTTGTCTGCCCCTGTGGGAATGGCCTGGAAGCTGCTCCCCACTCCAGCTCCGGTCTCGGGAGCCCTCGCCCTAGTTGTCTCATTTTGCTCGCCGCATTGCCTCTCTGCACTCTCCCAGGATGTGATGCTGGGTGCCCTGGCAGCCCTACTTGGGCTCTTGTTTCCCAGGAGTCATTTGTGCTGGCTCAGGGCCCCTCCCCTCCCTTCCAAGATGCTGCTTTTGTCTCTGGGCATCACAGCTCAGGCTGAGGGTGTCTTTTTGGGTCAAATGCCACAGAATCGCAGATTTACGAAAGAACCGAACGCCCCCGCTCTCTCACCTATGACATATTCTCTATGATGTCCCTGTCCACCTGTGTGCATGGCACGAGGTAGCTGCCCAGGTGTCTCTAGGATGGAAAATATGGCCCTGAAGGGCATCCCATTCCTTGGTTGGGTAGCCCTGGTTGAGTGTGTTTGTGTGTGTGTTGAAATCTCCCTCTGTAATTCAGCCCACCACTTCTAATTCTGTCCTTGAGAATGATTCAGAATGTTGGCTATTTCTTCCACAAATGCTTCCAGGCGTCCTCATCCTTTCCCTGCTCTGCTGTGTCCAAGTCCCCCGGAGTCCTGTGGCCCCCTTCTGAGTCACTGATGCTCAGTAGTGGCCTTCAGAGCCTCCCTGGCCCTAGCCCTAGCCCCGCCCTGCCCTAGTGGCCTCGCCAGCCAAGGGGCCCTGGGCCTTTCACCAGCCTGTGTGGAGTGAGCTCTGTGCTGGGGCAGGGGCAGTTTGTGAACCAACATGCATGTCTTCAGAGGGCCTGCCAGCCAGGGAGGGAAGAACCAGGCTCCCTGCTTGGAGAGATGACAAGAGCAAAGAATGAGCTGCCATGGCCAAGGCCTCCCTGGCCCTTACAAACCACGTGACTCAGGAGATCTAGGAAAGAACCTGGAGACGGGCCTGGTTCCTCACTTAACTGAGTGTGGCCCAAGTTTCAAGCCACTACCCTGGGCTTCCCTGGGTCTGGCCTCTTCAGAAGCTTCTGGTTCCGGCCATGGTCTCAAGGGTCTGACGCTGGAGCAGGTGGTGATCTGAGAGAGGCGTTCCAGCTGGAGTCTTCGTCAGGGACGGCATTGGAGGGTTTGGGTCTTCCTAGGTGAGCCTTGAGGAAAGAGGAGATATTGTTGTCTCTCATCCGATGTTCTCACCTGGTCAGAGACCAACTGCCAGGGCTGTGTGTGGAGTAGAAAGGGAAAAGAGAAGACAGAGTTGTCTCAATCCTTCGAATTGTTGGTATCCAAAGGAAAGCTGCAGGAGTCTTCTCCCCACAACCACACACACAAGCCCTGGCCTCTGCATCCACACAAAGGGCAGGCAGTGGGGGAGACATGAGTGAAGTCTCATCATGTTGTCAAGGCCATGGCTAAGGCTGAAGTGTTTGGGGATTACAGAAATTTGATTTCTGTACAACAGATGGAACAAAGATACAGGAAAGAGTTATAGGTCTTTTAAAGAAGTAGAAGTTATACCTGGGGGCTGGCATTGTGGCTCAGTGAGTTAAGCTGCTGCCTGTAGTGCTGGCATCCCATATGGGTGCTGGTTTGAGTCCCGTCTGCTCCACTTCTGATCCAGCTCCATGCTAAAGTGCCTGGGAAAGCAGTGGAAGATGGCCAAGCGCTTGGCTCCTGAATCCATCTGGGAGACCTGTAAGAAGCCCCTGGTTCTGGGCATTGGCCTGGTCCAGCCCTGGCCATTGCGACCATTTGGGGAGTGAGCTAGTGGATGGACGATCTCTTTGTCTCTGTCTCTCTTTCTCTCTAACTCTGCCTTTAAAATAAATAAATCCTTGGGCGCCAGATTCTAGTCCCGATTGCTTCTCTTCCAGTCCAGCTCTCTGCTGTGGCCTGGGAGGGCAGTGGAGGATGGCCCAGGTGTTTGGGCCCCTGCACCTGCATGGGAGACCAGGAGGAAGTACCCGGCTCCTGGCTTCAGATTGGCGCAGCACCAGCCACGGCGGCCGTTTGGAGAATGACCCAATGGAAGGAAGACCTTTCTCTCTGTCTCTCTCTCACTGTCCATAACTCTACCTCTCAAATAAATGAATAATAAATAAATAAATCTTAAAAAGAAGTAACCCCTAAGCATGCCTTTGCTGGCCATTATTGGTGTCTCTTGTCTTTCCTTGGTTGTGGCCTGGACAGTTTACCTGTAAGTTTGGTTTTCTTCTGCAGAATTCAGTTTCCCCAGTGAACTTCTGCACTGTGATGCAGTGTTAAGAATGGCACAGAGGAGGCAGAGGAGCTGCAGGGCGCCCAGCGAGAGGCGTGCAGTGGTTCAGGGGAGACAGGCTGTGGGCTGTGCTAAGCTCCAGGGCCGCTTAGCAAAGACAGTTTGGAGTGACTTGTTTCTCGCTGTTATTGACAGCAATGACAGCCCACGTGTTGCTGGGGAGAAGGCGAGTCGTGTGATAGCTACTTTGGGGTGGGGCCTCTGTTTTCTCTTTAGCATCCTTATGAGCTAAGGCCTTCTGTGTCCTTTCTAGGTAACAAATATGAAGTCAAGGTGTACACTGGCGATGTCATAGGTGCGGGGACAGATGCTGATGTCTACATCAATATCTTTGGAGAGTATGGAGACACAGGTAAAGGGTTTGGATCCTTTTCTCGCAAGCCGCGGTTCCTCACAATCCTGGCAGAGGAAGGCAGCTGGAGGCCTCCCGGGCTGCCCTGCTGTGCACCTGTCTTCCTGCGATGTGGTTGGCCAAGGCCTGTTCTGAACAGCAAGCTGTGCATCTTGTGTCTAGAATCTCTGGGTGTGATGCATTTTTAGAACAAAGTATGCCTGATTTTGGAGTTGATTAAACTTTTCCTGCACCCTAGAATATGGGCAAACCCAAAGTCCCCATCCCTGGGGCGTTCACTCTCACCCACACTGTTTATTTCTCTAAGTTCCATGCCCGTCTTGAGTTATAGTTTGGGGTGTTATTGATGTGACCTAATTCAGTGCGGTGGTTTGGGGTCTACTGGAACGGGGCCTGGGTGTAGAATTACGCTTGGCATGCTGTTCCCAGTGGGAGCTGAGGGCAGAGACACAGCTGTCGTCAGTGTTGTGAGGAAGTCCAGAGCAGCAGAACTGAGATGGGCCACTCTCTGCGTCTGCATCTGCCGGCGTAGTGGAAAAACACAGGAGCAGCAAAGCTGCAGAGCTGTGTGGATTTTGGACATAATATATTAAAGAATTCTCAAGGCATTGTTGATCTCGTAAGGGAATAGAGAGGGGGAGGGAAGGAGAGAGAGAGAGAAAGAGAGCGAGAGCGAGAGAGAGATCTCCAGATGCCAGAAATGAAGAGGAAACTCAAAACCCAAATCTTGACCACAAATTGATGCTGTAGCTCTTGGGAGGAGGGTGCTTTCTTGCCGAATGATCTAGACTAGAGAGAGAATTTTCACGCCCAGTTGGGGTCAGAAAAGGAGACTTGGGTCCTTTGTGGGGCAGGAGAGTTCAGTTAGGGCTGCACATAGAGCCAGGCGCTCTGAACGTGCATAGGAACATCCTCAGTGACAAAAACAGACCAGGAAATAATTGCTCATCTCTACAGTAAGCTCGTCTCTACGGGAGTTTTATATAAAAACGTTGCTGAGAAACTGATACTTCAAGCTCCACCACATGTGATTTTATGCTCTAAGTGTGATTTGGCAGCCCCCACATCCCCAAGTATAGAAAACTTGTTCCATGACAGTAATAAATACTTCAGGGCTCTTGGCAGAAATATTGGTGGGATTCCATGAGATTCCCAGAGATAAGATACTGGAGATGAGTTCACTATCTCAAACTATAAAACACCCAAGGGCAAAACCCTCCATGACTCAGCACCCATAACACAACAATGAGACTGGATCCTGAATGGCAGACCACAGAGCACTCTGAGAAAGGCTGTAGCTGAAATTGCTTAAACCCATCAAATGCATGACTTAAGTAAAGAAAATAACAAGGCATCATGAAAAATATGGAAAATTTAGGAAAAGAACCAAACAGAAATACAGAAAATGAAACTGTAGTTACCAAAGATAAACACTTAATGGATGGATTAAACAGCACTACTAGAAATAGTTGAATAGAGAATTAGTGAATTGTAACAGAAATATGAACTAAATCCTCATTTGAAGCATGGAGAGAGAAAGGGGTGGAAAATATAAATGAGGGGCTTTGAAAATGAAGGGGGAGAATATGAATTTCTGATAGATGTTGGATAGGAGTTCCAGAAATGTGACTATGGAGAAGAGGTGAGGGGAAATAGTGGAAGAGAGAATGGCTAAGAGGTTTTCAGGATTGAGCACAGATATAAATATTCAGACTGAAGTAGAAAAATGAGTCATTGAACAGAATACGCAAAACACTCACATTTAGAAACACTGTGATGAAACCAAAGGCAAAGAGAAAGATCTTAAAAGGTAGCAGAATTGGCACATTGCCTTCTGTAAAAGCAGTCACATGGATAGCGCATTCCCATAGCAACCTCTAGAGGGCGTAAATCCATGGAATAATATCTTCAATGATATGAGCAGTAACATATATTAACCTATACCAGCTAGGTATCATTCAGAGGGAAGACAAAATTGACGAATTGCCATGCCAACAAGAAGAAATAGAGTTTACCATTCAGGAACCTGTACTTCAGCAGCCACTCACGGATGCACTTCAAGAAAGGAAACTGCGTGAGACACAAGAAACAAAGGGGAGCAAAAAACTGATGACTCTGTACTAAGCAAGCACTGACAGTACAAGCAACGACAGTAATGGCTGAGAGCAGGGCACGAGGAAATGTGGACCCCAAACACCTAAAAGCAACAGTATGTGAGAAGGAAAGCAGATGGTTAGAGTTAAAAACAGTGTTTCTCAGCCCCAGCTCATCCCCCACCCTCAGAAGTGTAGAGATGAAGAGTAACTTGTACACTTTAATAGGTCAGGTATGCACATTAACGCTGTAAAAGTAACCACCAAAAACTAGAGTTTCTACAACTTGCAGACCAATAGAAGGGACGTGACTCAATCTGAAAGGGAAGGGAAAAGAGGGTAAAGAAAAAGCATGGCCCATAGCAAAAGGTAAGATAAATGTATCAGTAATCACAATAAACAATAACTAAATGTATCACTGAGTATCAGTGAAAAGATATATATCCTCATATTAGATGGAAAGAAAAGAGAAACCAGCTTAAATATGATACCGAAGGGTCTGAGAATAAGTAAGATGGAATAAAATATTCCAGGAGAATATCAGCAAGTTAATATAGGTATAGCTATATTAATATCTGTCAAATTAAACCTTAAGGCCAGCCACTTTGTTAGAATGTGAAGTATACTGTTAGAGAATGACAAGACGAGTAATTCTGGACTTGTATGAATTTAACCACATATCCCCAAAATCTGTGAAGCAAAGTTTTACAGAATTCTTGGAGTAACTTGATGAATGCTTTTATCAATTTTTTGATAAATGTTTTTATCAACTAAATTGGGTAAAAATCTCAGTCCAATGGATACAGGCTCAATGTGGGTAGAAAGAATCTTATCTCTCCAGCTTGAGCTCATGGGGGTGTGCGGATGAACCCATCAGCGGGGAGTGAACACAGTCTTCCCGGGCACGGGGTGACCACGTCCAAAACCTCGGAGCAAGCCTTAACCAGCCCAGGAGTCAGTGAGAAGAGACGGCATTCTTCAACCATATGGCAACAAAATTAGAAGAAACTCCAACATCTCACCCTGTTTAGAAGCCAAACAGCACATTTCTAATTTATCAATCAAGGAAGTAACCATACGTGAATAGTCTGGTAGCCTGTCTTATTTTCATCCTCTGCAGCAGAACTAAATTGGGAGAGCTAGCAGAGGTAGTAACAATAGAAGATGTTCAGGTCTCTGCTCCCATCACTCTCGGGGACATTCCAGAAGGATCTCCAGGGCAAGACTGAAGGCCTGGAAGAGACACTGGCCCTGGGGCTGGGAGGTCTCTGTATGGCATTGTGAGAGGTCCTTCCTGGGGCTAGGATCCAGCAGGAATACAGCGTGGGAGACTCCCCGACCACATCAGTAACTCATGCTTGTGGAGCACAAGGCTCTCCCTAGGCATGGTGAAGACCCTGCGGAGGGGTACAAGACTTGTGATTGTCACTGTATAATGTCGCCTGTCCTGTCATCTCAGCATCGCAAAAGGACTGATTGTCTTCCAGACTTGCTGCAGCCAGTTTCCAGGGAGATCTGTGATCATTAAAGAAATTAGAGCAGCAATTAAAATTCACCCAAGCATCAGCCTGGGAGAGTTTCTCCTCTGCATGGTTTATTCCAGGAATTCAAATATAATTTAACATTATTCAACCTTTTCAAATAACTTATCACAGAAACAGATTAAAGGAAAAAACAGAATTATCTTGATAGAGGCAATGAATTTTGTAATCATGATTTTAAAGCTTTCCTTCCCTCCCTCCCTCCCTCCCTCCCTCCCCCCCTCCTTCCTTCCCTCCCTTCCTTCCTTCCTTCCTTCCTTCCTTCCTTCCTTTTTACTTGAAAGGCAAAGAAGGGAAAGATCTTTCATCTGTTGGTTCATTCCCCAAATGCAACAGCCAGAGCTGGGCCAAGCCAAAACCAGGATCCCAGAACTCAAACCAGGTTTCCCATGTGGGTGGGTGGGTCCTAGATTCTTGGGTGCGCCTTAATAGGAAGCTGGAATGCGGTGCAGATCTGGGAATTGCAAGCAGGCACTCTGGGACGGGATGAGGCCTCCCCTGCAGTGGTGATTTAAAACAAACAGAACCGCAGGAAGCTAGGAACAGAAAGAAGCCTTTGGGCAGCTGTTGTGGGACAGAGGGCTAAGCCGCTGGGTGGGACACCTGCATCCTGTACCGGAGTGCTGGTCTGAGTCCTAGCTACTCTGCTTCCAGTCCAGCTTCTTGCTAATGCATCCTGGTAAGCAGCAGAGGGTGGCTTACATATCTGGGTCCCTACCTAAGAGACCGGATGGAGTTTTAGCCTTCTGGTTTCAGCCTGACCCAGCTCTGGCTGTTGTGGGCATTTGGGGAGTGAACCATCAAATGGAAGGTCAATTTTTCTCTTATTGCCTATCAGATGGGTAAATGAACATTAAAAAAAAAAAAAGAAACCTTCTTGAAAAGGATTAGGTTATCTACTAAAATGCACGTGAGCACTTTGCTTAATTTTGAAACATTGAAAGGACTCCCCTTAAGTCCAGGAACAAAAGAAATGTCTAGCTAATGATTACTTCAATCACCACAGTATTGGAAGTCCCAGGGCCAGAAAAATGGATAAGAAAAAGAAATGAAAGCTGTTAACAGTTGAAAATGAAGAACAAGCTTTCAATTTCGTAAAATATCCCTGATCACCTACAAAATCCAGGAGAATTCACAAGTTTTAGAATCAGGGAGAGAAAGTTTAGCAAAGGTGCTGAATATAAGATTAATATACAAAAATTATAAAAATAACGCACAGTTAAGGATATACTGTTATCTTGGCAATTGTAAGATGGCTAAGAATAGTTAAGCTCTTTTCTTAAGCTTCCTGGGGAAAAATATAATGTTTTCATCGAAGGATATATAAAAATATATAAATAAATGGAGAAATATTTTCGTAGAAGAGGAAAGATTCAAATTTATTAAGATATAGGTCTTTCCAGATGGTCCTATAAGTGCAGTGATATTTCAGTCAAATTCCTTGGAGGCAACACCTCACATTTTAAGCCACTGTTAGAATTCATGTAGGAGCTGGCATTGAGATGCAGCAGGTGAGCTGCCCCTCGCAGGACAGCATCTTAGAGTGTAGGCTCAAATCCTGGCCGCTCCAGTCCTGATAGAGCTTCTTACTAATTCACCTGGGAAGGCAATGGAAGATGGCTCAAAAACTTGGGTCCACGCCACCCACGTGGGAGACCCAGGTAGAGTTCTAGGCTCCTGGCTTTGCCCTGGTCAAGACTTGGCTGTTGTGGCCACCTGGGGAGTAAATCAGGAGATGGAAGATTTTTCCTGTCTTTTTCCCTGTCTTTCCCTTTCTCTGTCTCTATCAGTCTGCCTTTCAAATAAATATTAAAAATAATCAAGTAGGGGCTGGCACTGTGGCGTAGTGGGTAAAGCCGCCGCCTGCAGTGCCAGCATCCCATATGGACGCTGGTTCGAGTCCTGGCTGCTCCACTTCCGATCCAGCTCTCTGCTATGGCCTGGGAAAGCAGTAGAAGATGGCCCAAGTCCTTGGGTCCCTGCAGCTAAGTGGGAGACCCGGAAGAAGCTCCTGGCTCCTGGCTTTGAATTGGCACAGCTCTGGCCAACTGGGGAGTGAACCAGGGGATGGAAGACCTCTCTCTCTGCCTCTCTTTCTCTCTCTGTGTAACTGACTTTCAAATAAATAAATATTTTAAAAAATCATGTAGAACTGTAATGGGCTAAATATTGCCAAGAAAAGCTGAAATAATGAAAATAATATTCACTGTATTAATAATATAAAAATATTTATCCCATCTGACACTGTAAATCTCTAAAAACTGACACAATATGATTTAGGTAGAGGATAAACAAAATATACCAGTAAAACAAAAGAAAGAATCTAAAAAAACTGCATAAAGGTGGTGTCATAATCAGAGGGAAAGATGAATGCTTAATTACTGGTATTTGAACAACTGTCTAACCAGATGAGAAAAGATAAAATTAGATTGCTACCTTTCACCAGGCACAAATAGAACTTCCAGATGGGTTGAAGTCTTATATGTGAAAAATCAAACTATAAAATTTTTAGAAGAAACATTAAGTGCATCTTTTTTATCCTAATTTATGAATAAGGCTTCTTAAGCAATTCATTAAAAGAACAAACAATAAAGGAAAACATTGACAAAGTCCACTAAAAACTGCCCTAGATGATAAAAACAACAAAGGAAACATAGTAGAAGAATGGGATAAAGGATGTGAATAGAAAAATTATGAAAGAGTAAGGCCCAGATAGCCAACAAATATATGAACATATGCTCAATTTCCTCAGATAAGTAGAGAAATGCAAATAAAACTATAAAGATGTACCATTATATGTAAGCTGGATGAGGGTTTTAAATGTATGTGTTAACAATGATGTGGGGCCGGCGCCACGGCTCACTAGGCTAATCCTCCACCTAGCAGCGCCGGCACACCGGGTTCTAGTCCCAGTCGGGGCGCCGGATTCTGTCCTGGTTGCCCCTCTTCCAGGCCAGCTCTCTGCTGTGGCCAGGGAGTGCAGTGGAGGATGGCCCGGGTGCTTGGGCCCTGCACCCCATGGGAGACCAGGAAAAGACCTGGCTCCTGGCTCCTGCCATCGGATCAGCGCGGTGCGCCGGCCGCAGCGCGCCGGCCGCAGCGGCCATTGGAGGGTGAACCAATGGCAAACGAAGACCTTTCTCTCTGTCTCTCTCTCTCACTGTCCACTCTGCCTGTCAAAATAAATAAATAAAAAAAATTAAAAAAAAAAAAAAACAATGATGTGGAGAATGGGAACCCTAGCACACTGCAGGTACTGATTACTGTAGTACAGCCATTTCAGAGGGGAACTTTGCAACCCTTCCTAACAGAGCCTGAGCTTACTCAGAGCCCAGAAATTCTACTTGGAGTTGTGTGCTCAGGGCAGTTCCTAACAAATGTGCAGCAAGAGATGGGTCCATTGCAGTGTTATTGGCAATAACAAAAATTTAGAAACAACTGAAATGGCCATCAGTAGAAGGCAGCGAAGACAAGAGTGGCTTTATCCAGTGGCTGTTAGACAGTAGTTGGATGAATGAGCTAAGATTCCAGGGGAACCAGGATGATCTCAAAGGCATAATGTTAACTGAAAAGAGTCCCGCTGCACAAAGGCACGTGACAATGATAGCAGGAACAGCAACAGCAGCCCCTGTGGCCATGATGCCTTGGTGCCTACCATGCTCCAGGTGGTGTAGGCATGAATTCAGTGAATGGCACAGTGAACCCTGGGTGGTAGGCACAGTTATTATTTCCAGTGTACATATGAGGAACTTAAAAGTGCAGAGATGTGCACTGTGTTATTATTTATGTAAAATTCTATAACATGCAAAAATAGTGTACTTTCTTTATGGATACATACATGTACAAACATTCATGGGCATGACACACACCACCTTGAGGTTGGCACTTATTTTGGGAAGGGAGGAGGAGGAGAGAAGAGATGAACAGTGAGGCCTTGGATATATCTATTGTATTTTATTTCCTTAAAAAAAAAAAAGATGAGCAGATGTTTAGTCTAGTGGTTAAGACATCTGCCTTCTGCATCAGAGTGCACCGGTTCGATTCCCAACTCTGGCTCCTGAGTCCAGCTTCCTGCTATTGTCAACCTTGGGAAATAGCAGTGATGGTTCAAGTAGTTGGGTCCCTGCCACCTGTGTGGGAGAACAGAATTGAGTTCTTGGCTCTTGGAAGTGGGCCAGGGCCAGGCCCAGCTCCAGCCATTGTAGGCATTTGGGGAGTGAGCCAGCCAATGAGAGTGCCCTCTGTCCCTCATCCCCTCTCAAGTAAATAAATTAAAATAAGATAAAGAAAGCCCTGACAAAATATTAACATCTCTTAAATCACTTCAATCTGGATGGTGGACTTGAATGTCTTAAGTGATTTTCTTTGTGCTTGAACTGTCACAGTTTAGACTTTAGGAAAAATTCTAAGGACTAAATTTTAGGAGAGAAATAACACAGGATGGTTTAAGGAAAATGTTAATGCTTGGGTGGGGTTGTCAGGGTTAATCTGACTTGTACATATGTAAACATGAAAACGTAACAGTCGCCAACCGCAAGGTAAAAAGAATAGGTTGCAGTTCTAACTCTGTGCTTATTACCCATGTGACTTTTGGCAAATTCTTTATTTTTTCTAAATCTCAGTTTCTTCATTTGCAAGACAGAGTTAATAATACCTCCTTGGATTGTGGTGAGGAATAAGTGAGAAAAAAAAATCTATGTGAAACTCCCAGCAGAATCTGATAATAATTATTGTCACTGCTTTGCAGAAGAGGAGCAGGCCTACGGAAGTGTGTGGGCTGATGTCAGGGTCCCAGCCACAGCTCCTGTGCCAGCTGCTATGGTGCCATTCCAGTTCAGAACAAGCAACTGGCAAAAGCAGAGCAGGGCCTCAGGTCTAGAGATGGGGGCACAGGTCAGTTTAGCAGGAGAGAACTTTGCACTCAGGTAGAAATCAGAGGTGCAGTTATGAGACCTGGGTACAAGCCACACACGAGGCAAGCCTCTACCTGGCCCGAAGCTGGGGGATGCCAGGAGCCCTTAGATCTCAGGCACAGCTCCTTGTTGTCTTCGGAAGAGCATCTTTCAGTGGGTGGACCATCAAGGCTTGGACTTGGTTCTGTCTCCTCTGGTCTTTTTTGTTTGAAATTTTCTTGTCTCTCTGTGCACACAGGGGAGCGTAGGCTGGAAAATGAAAAGGACAACTTTGAAAAGGGAGCTGAAGACAAGTTCCTCCTGGATGCCCCAGATTTGGGGCAGCTGATGAAGATCAATGTTGGCCACAACAACAAGGGGGGGTCTGCAGGTTGGTTCCTGTCCAAGGTGGGTTCAGCTATATGTCTGTGGTCCCAGTGGCCTGGCAGGGGGGATTCTGGCTCTTCAGGGCAACCTCCCTCTCTGGATTTATCTGCATTGCTCGTGTGTGTGTGGGGGGTCTTTTCTAAATACATCATATATATAATGGAGAATTATATATACTATTGATCTAGGAAAATGCTCACACCCCTGATTTGCTCCCCAAAAGCCCACCATGGCCAGGAACTGTGCTGAACCCAGGAGCTGGGAATACCATCTGGGTTTCCCACATAAGTAGCAGGGACCCAACTACTTGAGCCATCACCTGCTGCCTCCCAGGGTGAGCATTAGCAGGAAGCTGGACTTGACAGTGGAGGCAGGCATCAAACCCAGGCATTCCTGTATGAGATGTGGGCATCTACACCATCAGGCAAAATACCTGTCGCCGCATCCACTGTTCTCCCTAAGTCTGCTGGTCAGCCATGCTCCCTGCTCATGATCTGCAAGACCTCATCCTCATGCTCAGCCCAGTTCTCTCATCTGAACCCAGCCAGTGCCTACTCAACCTTCAAGGCTCCACTGTGAGGTTTGCCTTGACCTTAGCCCACTAGCGCCTCTCCTTTCTAACTCTGCCCGTTGGAGGCATCTGTTTATTTAACTTCTCCCTAAGCTTTCTCATGACTTTTCTTGGGTTGTTGCTTTGCGCCTCAAATTTTAGACCTCATATCCCTTGTAATTTCACTTATCTAGGATACAGTAAGAATGAAGAAGAAGGTCAGACAACCTCTGAGCAGCCAAACACATCTCATTCAGAAGCCATAAGGAAAGCTCATACCCCTGGCTGTGTCTTGCCCTGTCCTGATTTTGGAGAAAAACTCCTGCAACTGTTGGCTCAGAGTCTTATGCTTGTGTCCAATCCATTCTAAGCACACTTGTTCCCAGGAATTTTAAACCTAAGCAGAAAGTCATAAGGAGAAAGAGGCACAACAGCAGATTGAATGGGGTGAGGACTCGGAGAAGACACAAAATGCCATGGGATCATGAAACATTCACAGAATTCTGAAGGCATTTAGGAAATTGGCTCCAGTCCTTTGCACGTGTTCCCTTAGTCATGGCATTGATCCATTTCAGGTCACTGCAAAATGATAGGAAGAAGTGAATGTGTTAAGTATTTTGGAAAACATTTTGAAAAAGATATTATTGCTTTAAACGGAGCACCCTCAGGTTTATAACCACTTGACTGAAAAGAATGAGACTTTCTGATAGCTGAGCTTTTCTTGATGCTTAACTTCATTTGCCTTCTTGTATCTGCTAAGAATGCATTTGGCTGCAAGTATCAGGAAACTGAAGTGTGAATTTGGCAGTCAGGAGTTCATCTTTCTCATCTCACAGGAACCCATACATGGTCACCTCAGGGTGGAGGAACCTGCATCATCAGCCTCAGTGTGGGACTTCCATCCTCTGATTTGTTGTCTCATGGTTGCATGATGGCAGCTGAACCTCCTGGCAGCTTACCTGTGTCCTAGGCAGGAAGAGAGGGGAAGATAAAGGGAACAAAGACTTTAATTTTCCAGCAAGTCTGACCTTGTTTTGAAAGAAGCAGGGCCCTCCATTTTCCACAAAGTTTTTGAAGTACCTTCATATTATAAATAGTGTTCTGACAAACATTCTGGTAGCTTATGTTTATGTACATCTTACTTTGTACAGTAAATTCCTGGGAGTTGGTGAGAGGACATACAGAGCTCTAGGAACTTTGATGTGTCTGCTGCTATCTACTCATAGTTTTATGTTTCTTGATGACTGTTCTTATTTAATTTAGCTAATTTTGGTGTCATCTCACTGCTTCTCTGCAGTAAGCCCTCCTATCCTGAAAGATGTTTGCTCCTATTACAGTCTATCAAGCATACCCATTTCCTGAATTCTTCTTCTTCTTCTGTGTCCTGTGTTGGGTTGCTTCCTGAGTTCTACTATTCTTGGTTTGTTTTTTTTTTTTTAAATAGAAAAGGGGCTTTATTGGAAGGATCCTGGGCATCACAGTGTGATGAGAATACCTTGAAGCTCAGTTGGGGTTAGGTTCAGCCCCACCTCACGAGTCACTGCAAACCATCTGCTGTTTGGACTCTAGAGTGAGCTCCCCCCTCAATAGTTCGGGGTGCTTTTTCAAAAGGTCTTAAGTCAGTGTTTCCTCTTTCTCCAAGCTTGCATGAAGTGGGTTTCTCTTGAGGCTTGGAGTCAGAAAACAGTCAAGGTATGCCTGGCACAGAGGGCATTTATCAGATCTCCCTTCTTCCCCTCCCCCTGCTCCTTCCACTTCTTCTTTGGCTCCTTTGGGCAGTTTCTGAATTGCCCTTTCACATCCAGGGCTGAGCAGAGGCTCTTTGTCTACTCCTCAGATCCTAGCTGTCACCATCTTGGTACATTAACGCTCTCTTGCTGGGATGCTTTCTTACTTCCATTGCCTGGACCTTTGACACAGGTTGGTTGCCTTTTATGCAAGAGAATGCAATCTTAAAACTATGTGTATGATTTGAGAAAGAGTTTCCTGTGGGAGCAATGTGAAGCAGAAGGCCGTACACTTCCAGGTGTCCTTGTATGTCAGCAACCACTAAAGCGTAGTTTTGCTCTCGTGCTTTTCGGTTGTAATGATATTGTCTCCAGTATTCTGTAAAGCTCTCAGGTGCCTGCATGGGTTGGCAGCATTTATCATCTCACTGCTTTTCTAAAGTGATTGATTTTGAGGTTGGGTTTTATAGGCCATGAAAATATTATAAATTATGACAGCGAATGTTAAAATAACAGCACACTTACCCCTAAATCACTCATGGAAGTCCCATGACTAAAGCATGTATTGTTCTGACAGGTTGGTGGATATTTCTTTTGAAAGGCTGAAGTGGAAATAACTGAAACATAATTTATAACTCCGTGTGCTGGCTGTAATTCTGGAGGTCTCTGGGTTTTTTCTTTTTTTCTGTTGGCAGGGTGCACATGCACCAAGTGAAACCTTGTTGAAGTATTTATGTGAAATGGTTTCAAATGTGCATCATTCATATTCACACAAAAAGCCACCAAGATGAACTGGCGAGCAGGAAACACCAGAGATGCTGGCACCTGCTCTATGGCCTTCCTGGCCCTCCCAGTCCATGCAGCATTGCTGTTTTACTGGGGCTTTAGCTGATGGGTACACACACTCATGTTGCCCTCTGCTCTGGTCCTCAGGAGAAGCCCTGGGCCAGGCCTCCCAGAATTTAGTGGTGAAAATGCCTCATAGTTGGGCTTAGGGGTTCAGAAGAGGAGGTCTTGCTCCTCTATTTATTTGTGAGGGTATCTCTCTTTCTCAAGGTTTATTTATTTATTTTGAGAGAGAGAGAGAGAGAGAGAGAGAGAATCTTGTAATTGCTGGGTTACTCCCCAGGTAGCTGCAATAGCCAGGGCTGTACCAGGCTGAAGCCAGGAGTCAGGAGCCTCATCCGTGTTTCCCAACGTGGGTGGCTGGAGCCCAGGTACTTGGGCCATCTTCTGGGTATTTCCCAGGCCATTAGCAGGGAGATGGTTTGGAAATGGGCTAGCTGGGATGTGAACTGGCACCCAGAAGGGATGCTGGCATTGCAGGCAGCAGCTTTACCCACAACGGCATAGCACTGGCTCTGGGGTCTCTGTTTTGTTAGGGGAATGTGGGACTCAGTGTAGGACCTTCCTGAGTGTGGATTTAGCCACCTTGTGGTTGGTAGGGGTGGCTTCTAGATTCCCAGCCCAAGTTTTCTAAGAATTTTCCTTTTTGATGGTATGGAAGCCGTCTCCCTTTCTTCTCTCCTCTCTTCCTCGCTCCTTCTTCCCTTTCTTCTCTACTTCTTTTTGTTTGCTAGTCAGGTAGTACTTTAAACCAGAAGGCCAGGCAGGCTGCTTTCAATGTGGGACTGCTTATTCTCTTTGGGGACAGCATTATGTTTAGGGGAGATTCTGGTTCCTCGGTCTGTGCCACCCCAAAACCCCAAGGTGTGTGTCTCAAAGGTTTGCAGGCTTCTGAAAAATCCCTACAGTTTGTTCCTTTAACTTAAGCCAAATCACAGTGCTCCCTGGGGAGAAGAAATTAAGCCCCTTCAAGCAGTGTAGAGGCCAGCGTGCCTGGGCTTAGGAGAGGTTTTCCAGGGGTAGAGGGTAAGCATTGTTTAGAGAAAGGAGGAAGGAGGGGCTCAGGGTGAGCAGAGCCGGGGGACACCAAGGGCCAACTGTCACCCCACGGAAAGCACACCCTGGGAGCCAGCCCCCACCACCTCCTTCCTGGCCGCCCTCCCTAATTCTTCTGATTGCTCCGCTCACCTTTGTCTCCCCAAAGACAACAGTTAAAGGAATGGGATTCCAGATATGACACTTTCCTATACCTGTTCCTCAAAGCTGCCAGACTGGGTTGCCTTGGATTTCGTGTGACAACAGCTCCCTTGTGTTTATGGTTAAGGGCTGGGTAGGATGAATCTCAAAGCCACCATGAGGGGTCTTCAAAAATTCGTGCCAAGGGCATAGTATGAAAACAACTAGGCATGGGGTTCCATTCTGTTTTGTACCCAAAGCATGTTGATTCCATTTTTCCACAAATTTTTTTTAGCCTCCCCTACCCCATCACAGGTCAAGTCCCTGCTCTTCCTCCTTGGCCAATTGCCCAGATGAATTTCTTGGTCCTCACTGATGGGCCTGTCACCCCTCTAAAGTCCCTCTCCCTGGGAATGGTCTCTCCCTCCCCTAGGCTTTGCACATGGCTTGGGTCCACACACCTGAGAGTGCAGTTACTGTGATTGTGTCAGTTGGTCAGTTCAGCTGAACAACCACTGAATTCAACTTCCAAAGAGCAACAGTCACAAAATGGAACACGGTGCTTCCAGGGAGCCTCCTCCTGGGCCGCCTGTTTCACGGTGAGAGGAACAGTTAGGAGACTTGCCCCAGGCTCCAGCTCCAGCTCCAGCTCCTCAGTGGCAGAGCTCGTGCTTTGCTGGGTCCCTGTACTCCCAGGGTCGATTCTCTGGATGCATCACCTGCTGTAGGAGAGACTGGCCTAGCATGCACCCTTGGCTATCATGAGGAGAGGAACTGGTTTCAGGGACCCCAGCAGCCAGTATGTGTTCACATTACCCACTAATGCTCAATATCCAACATTTACTGAGTGACTATTACATTCTAGCACCCACACTACCAACTGCAGCTGTTACAATAAACTTCGTCTTGGTTGCTAACATTCAAGTATTCATTCAAATATTGCCTTTTTCCTTTGTGGTTCATCTGCACAAGTAGTTTTGTCCTGAAAGAGGGGTTTATTGGTAAAGATTCTGTTTTCCAGATTCAATAAACTTCTCAAGTCAGCAGATTTCAGCAGATATCTTGCTGGAACTAGGCCCTTAATGGATGGCATCCGTGTGAACTGTGAGGGAGGGTACTTTGCTCCTGAAACCATGGCTGACGCACTAATGTGTAAACGCTTTAAGACAGACATGGTGAATTTGTGTGTCTGGGTGTAGACTTGACAGCTCATCAGATATACTAATTTCTTTCCATAAGCATCTTGCTTTCCTAACTCTGTGAGTCATGGTAAGAGAGGTTAGGAAGCAGCTGTAGCCTGGCTCAAACCCTTGTTGGTTATTCTCCAATCCTAATTCTCCAGCCCCGGGGTAGAGAAGGCACAGAAATGTGCAGATAGATTAGTTGGGAGAGGCTGGACTCCCTGGCAGAAACCTTCTCTGAGCAGTACCACAGCAGTGCCTAGGCACTCAGCTCTAAAAGTGCAGAAACTCAATCAAATCAGCAGGTTCTCAAGGGCTGACTCACATCAACCAAATTCACCAAGGACTGATTCATATGCCAGAAACTAATGTTGATTTATCTGGGGAGAGAAGCCTGATGGGACTGCTCGCTCTGTCATTGGCCCAGGCCACTAGTTCCTCTCTGGTGCACAGTGTCCTCACATGGCCGGCTCAAAGCCCAGAAGGTTCCCTGATCAACACCTCATTAGACCCCGGGGAGATACATTCAGGCAGCCAGTATACCCTGTTCCACACTGTGGATGATTTGCCGTGAGGAAGTATGTCTTTCATTGAAAACCAGAGCCGCTCTCTTGGGCAGCCTTGGGAGCACCTTGCTGTTCTGTGACTTTCCAGCTCTCCCTGTGTGCTGTCGGGTGCCTGTGCCCACTGACTGTAGGACACAGTCCGGTTGTCAGCCATCCTGCTTACCTCAGAGTGAGTTTTCAGTTGAGAGGGCTCTTTGGTACGACCTAAAAAACCTACTCCTCTGAGCCTCACACAGCCTGGCCCACGTGGGAGTCCACAAAGGAGGCGGCCTCCTGATGGCCAAGTCCATTAGCGTCAGCCAGTGGCTGCTGTGTTCTGACCTGATAGCCAGCTCCTAGGGTTCTCTGTGCTGGGCTTGGGGCTTGCACTTCTCCTGGTGTGGACTCTTCCCCTCGCCAGGATCAGAACCTCAACCTTTGGCAGGTGAGGAAGGTGATGGTCTCGCCACAGTTTGCAAGTCCAGGTTTCCAGTTCTTGCATCTCGGTCATACAGGGCACATCTTGCCAAGTTTCTTGCTCCATGTTTTAAAAAATGATCTGAAGCGGTGGAGGGAGCTGTGGCTGGCAATCCAAGTCAGAAGTAATTGCCACTTGTAACTTTAGGACATGGCAAAGCTTTCCTGCTGACAGGTGTGGCCTGTAATAAGCTGTCCTTGGGCCACTAAGGAGATGAGAGTGTGTTCTTAGAGTACTTCAAGTGATTGCAGGAACTGGATTAGATCACCAGGTGCGCCGTCAATGACATTTAACCACATTCCTGTCCTCTCTTCTCCTTCTCAGATTGTCATCGAAGATATTGGGAACAAAAGGAAATATGACTTCCCCCTTAACCGCTGGCTAGCCTTGGATGAAGATGATGGCAAAATCCAAAGGGATATCTTAGTGGGCGGAGCAGAGACCACAGGTAGAGTAGAACTGAAGAAAGGGGTGGTCCAGCTGGCTGACGTTTCACTTGGGACCTGAGGGTCAGTGTTCAGATCCGAAAGCCTGTGATGTGGGAGGAACCAACTGGGCCTGCAGCCAGCACTCCTCCTGCCCCTGTTCATGCTGTGTTCCTCGGGGCTGCAGTCTAGGGCTCTGTTGATGCCAGAGGAGCCAGGACGATGTCCCCGAGCAGAGACGAAGTACCGAGAGCAGAAGATGCAATCCACAGGATTAAACCAGGATGTGTGCTTTGAGAGGTGTGGACATTTGTGAGGACGTGAATTTAATCCTAACTCCAAATATCCAGTGCTTGCTGTATGCCAGGCCCTCTGCTAAGCGCCAGACCCACTTTCTTTCCTTTAATCCATGTAACAACCCTATATTGTAGGAACTGTTATTGTGCCCATTTCACAGATAAGGAAATTGAGGTGCATAGAAATTAAACCTGCCCAAGGTCATGGAACTGGTAAATGACAGAACCAGCATGATCTACCTCCTAACACCCCACCCTCAGTGAATTCCACAGAAAATCTCCAACTCCCAGTGTAGCTGAGATGGTCACGAGTGTTCCAGGAAATCAGTATTGCTGTGCACATCCGTGAATGTGCCCTGCTGTAAGAACTTCTGTGGATCCCCACTGCACAGAGAGGAAACCCAGGCTCTGTGGTAGAATGTACAAGGGCACTGTGAAAAACTTGTGGACAGTAGAATAGGTAAGTTTATTTCAGTGCAGCAATTTTTGAAATCCATGCATTTAAAAAGTATTTATGTATTTGAATGGCAGGGGGACAGAGAGGATAGAGAGAAAGTCACAGAGAGCTCCTGTCTGTTGGTTCTCTCTCCAAAGGCCGACAACAGCTGTGGCCGACACAGGTAGAAGTCGGGAGCCAGGAACTCAATCCAGGTCTCCTACGGGAGTGGCAAGGACCCAGCTACTTGGTCCATCATCTGCTGCCTCCCAGGATGCACATCTTTTAAGAAACTGGAATCAGGAGCGGAGCCTGGACTTAACCGCAGGCACTCTGATACGGGATCCAGTTGTCCCAACATGGTTTCTCAACAGCAAAGCCAAACGCCTGTGCCTAGCCTTTCCATAACATGCATGTCCACCAACTTTTGGAAGACTCTTTGTATGCAAGCATTTCAAAAATGTGTTTTGCACCAAAATAAACTTATCTTTAATTGCATTTGCTGTGAACTTTTGAAGTGAGCTCTTACAGATGACTCCCCAACTTGGCTCCAGCATATCCTACCACCAGTAGAATCTTCTCGGCCTTTTCTCCATCGCTCCCTGCCCCCACCATCTTCCTCCACGGCCTCTGTGCACTTTCTACTCTCTGTTGCACCCTCGCTCTCTGGGCCTTCCCTAACCTCCTCTGGACTAGGCAATTTCTCCCTTCTTTTGCTGCTCACGGGCTGTGTAGACCTTTGGTGCTGTAATTTGAGACCCAAAGCACTTCCCCACCTCAGCTCTGTGGCACCTTGGCCTCGCCTGATCACTGCCAAGCGTCACCGGCTATTTGTCGTGAACACTCGCCAACTGTTTCATGACAGATATATGCTAGACTAGATCTGCTATGATCTCATTGAGTGTGTTACTCTTACTCATCTCCTAGTGACAGAAGAAGAGGAGAAATAGCAGCAGCTGGGAATTGCTCAAACCTAGGCCACGGAAGTGTATGCGATGGTGAGAACACCATCTGTCCGTGTGTCTGACAGGAATAAAGCGTGGCACCCACTTTCTTAGAGCAGTGACCATTCCTTTTCATGCTCATGGGTTGCTAAGGCCTGGAAACCATCTCCCCTGCAAACTTGGAATTGTGACGAGATGTCAGGGTAGGGTAGCTTAGGGTGAGGATGGGTGCAGGAATGGACAAGGTTTACAGCGCCCGTTGTCTCACACCTCAGGCATAGAGGATTGCCCGTCAGACTTCATGTTTGTCTCCTAACTGTTCAAACTCCAAATGGCCTAATCTACGGGGAGCGATCTCTTCCTCAGGTCACCTCACCCAGGGACATGAGTGGCCGATCTTAAAAGTTACGTTTTTAAGTTATCAGCCAAAGAGGAAGCTAAAGGAACCAGTTAACCCTCCCTCCCCATATAAATCTCTGTGCATGGAATTGACTATTATAACTAGGTTAGATTTCACCAAATTCCTCTGGCAGCTATTAAGGATGTACACGTGGTAATTAACATTAATAATAAGCACTATTTTTAGCCAGTCCAAGTTCCTCTTCCTTTCTGATGGTTTCCTGTAGTAGTACACGCGGGTTCTTCTCACTCAGCTACCCTGGCACACAAACTCTGAGCAGGATGCCACGTGGTTGGGGAGGGAGGTGGACCTGCCAGGGGCAGAGAGCCGCGGTGGCAGGCGAGGCCTTTAGGGGGCGCTGTAGCCAGGCGCGGGATGCGGTGACGAGGCCCGCGCTGACCCTCCTCCGTCCCCTGTCATTTCCGCTACAGCGATCACCTATATCGTCACCGTCTTCACCGGGGATCTCCGAGGGGCAGGGACCAAATCCAAGATCTACCTGGTCATGTACGGGGCCAGAGGGAACAAGAACAGCGGGAAGATCTTCCTGGAGGGCGGGGTGTTTGACCGTGGCCGCACCGACATCTTCCACATCGAGCTGGCCGCCCTCCTCAGCCCCCTGAGCCGGGTCTCCATCGGACACGGCAACGTGGGCGTCAACAGGGGCTGGTTCTGTGAGAAGGTAAGGGCGGCCTTCGACGCCAGCCTTCTCTCTGCCTCGCTCCTGGTCTGCGGTGTGCGAGGGGTCAGCCCCTACCTGGAGCCTGCTTCCTGCTTCCGGTCGAGCCCGGGTACTAAGCACGCGGGCAACTTCCGGTGAGCGCTGAGCACGCAGGCAACTTCCGGTGAGCGCTGAGCACGCGGGCAACTTCCGGTGAGCATTGAGCACGCAGGCGACTTCCGGTGAGCTGGTGCCTGGCTCCTGGCAGGCCGGTGACCAGGATGGTGGAGGCCCTGTGGGTGCAGGCCTGACCCCGGGCCGGGGTGTAGGCCGTCCTGATTGCTGTCTCACGTCTGTTTGGAGATGCAGACGAGTATTTTGATGGATGTGTTTGTATTGTGTAAGGTAGATACTGTAAAGAATTTCCGTAATAAAGCAGCACGTAGAGGCTGGTTAGAAGCGCCTGGGTTGTACTAGAACACGGGAGTCCTTCCCTGACCACACAGCGCCGTCTTCCCGGTGCGGCCCGTGCTGCTGGAACGCAGACCGAGATCCCTGTCCAGGTGGACCGGGCCCGTGGCTCGCAGGGTCCACTCCACCTTAGGCTTTGGGGGGATTCATGCAGGTGGCAGCCGCGGACACCCCCTCCACGTCTCTGTTGTAGACGACTCCATCCGATCAGCTGGGACAACCTCTCGATTCTTCTGTCAGTGACTGTTTGGGGGGCTATTTCTTGATTTCTGCTACCACGAACAGTGCTGCCAGGAAATTCTTGTACCTATATCTTTGGGCAAGTGTGCAAGAGCTTCTCAGGATAGAAGTTTTAGGTTACCCCATAAAAGGATCTTCAGCTTTAAAGGATAACTGTTTTTTTTTTTCCCCCAAAGTATTCCAGATTATTTTCCATTTTATTCCAGATTAATTACCATTTTACTCTTGTCAGCTGTGGGTACTTTTTGTTCCCTGCATCTTTACCAACACTTGATATTAAATTTTTATTTTAATTGAGTCATTTTTAATTGCAATCTTCTTTTACTTCTAAAATTCTTTTGGTGATTTTGATTTTCATAATTATTCCTGAGATTAAACATCTTTTCATTCAATATTGCTATTCATGTTTCTATGTAGAATGCCTATTCCAGGTCTTTTCTGATTTTTCTACTGATAGATCTTGGAATTTATTTTGGAAGATCTGTACTTAATCCAGATATTAATCCTTTGTTGATAGCCTCATAGTTTGCTCATAATGTTCTTTGAGGAAGAGATTTAATTGAAAAGTGACCTAGTTTATCAGTATTTTTATTTATGGTTGATTTTTTTTTGTGTTATTGAAACATCTTGAAGCATGAAGACATTCTCCTAATCCTCTTCTAAATATTGTCAAGTTTTGTCTTTTCCATTTCGTCTTTATTCCACTGGTAATTGCTTTTTGTTTTAATCAAATAATATTTTTTTCCCAAGTGGATATCCAAATCTTTTAGCAACATTTATTGGGGGCATTGAAAGGCTTTAAAACTTGAGCATAGTTCATGGAATTCTTGTTAAAAGTAGATTCCTGGGAGCCAACCCTGACCCACTGAGTCAAGTTTCCAGGAGATCCGGATATTTCCCAAGTATTTAAGATAATTCATGTCATTGAGGAATTTTGGGGAGGACTGACTTCCTAAATGTATTTCTTTTCCCATTGTTCTGAAAACACAACTCTGTCATACCACAAATCCTCAAAATGTGTGACTTTGTTTCTAAGCTTTGTAGATTGTTCCATTGCTATAGTTTTTATTTCAGCACTTATACAACACTCGCTATTTTCATTTTATACTAAATCTTAGTGCTGGGCAAATTAGCCCACCTATGCTTCCTCAAGAATTTTTGGACTATTCATGACCATTTACCCTTCTGTAGAAACTTTAGAATTTTCTTGCCAAAATCAATGAGCTGTCTGGAACAGAGGTCAGTTGAATCTATAAGAACTGCCATTGTACAATGTTGTCTTTCTCTATGAACATGGTACGCTTCTTAAAATTATTTCTTTAATGTTTTAAATATATAGTTCTGATTTTTTTTAACATTTATTTATTTATTTGAAACTCAGAGATACGCAGAGAGAGAAGGAGAGGCAGAGAGAAAAAGAGAGAGAGGTTTTCATCTGTTGGTTCTTTCTCCAATTGGCTGCAATGGCCGGAGCTGCGCTGATCCAAAGCCAGGAGCCAGGAGCTTCTTCTGGTTCTCCCACTTGGGTGCAGGGGCCCAAGGACTTGGGGCATCTTCTACTGCTTTCTCAGGCTGTAGCAGAGAGCTAGATCAGAAGTGGAGTAGCTGGGATTCGAACTGGCGCCCATATGGGATACCAGCATTACAAGTGGCAGCTTTACACACTACGCCATAGCTCTGGCCCCCTGAAATTTTCTTGATAAGAGTACTGCATTTCTTTGCTAGATATATTAATTAATATATAATAAACTGTTACAAATGGTACTCCTGGGGCCGGCGCTGTGGCGCAGTGGCTCAAAGCCCTGGCCTGAAGCATCGGCATCCCATAAGGGCACCGATTCTAGTCCCAGCTGCTCCTCTTCTGATCCAGCTCTGTGCTATGGCCTGGGAAAGCAGTAGAAGATGGCCCAAGTCCTTGGGCCTCTGCACCCACATGGAAGATCTGGAAGAAGCTCGTGGCTCCTGGCTTCAGATCAGCTCAGCTCCAGCCATTGCGGCCATCTGGGGAGTGAACCAGGAGATGGAGGACCTCTCTCTTTCTGTTTCTACCTCTCTCTGTAACTCTTTCAAATAAATAAATAAATAAATGGTACTCCTTTAAAGATATTTTTTCTTGGGGCTGGCGCTGTGGCATAGTGGGTGAAAGCCACTGCCTTCAGTGCCAGCATCCCATATAGGCACTGATTGAAGTCCCTGCTGCTCCACTTCCTATCCAGCTCTCTTCCATGGCTTGGAAAAGCAGTAGAAGATGGCCCAAGTCCTTGGGCCGCTGTACCTACGTGGGAGACCAGGAAGAAGCTTCTGGCTCCTGGCTTCGGATCAGCTCAGCTCTGGCTGTTGTGGCCAATTGGGGAGTGAACCAGAGGATAGGAGATCTTTCTCTCTCTCTCTCTCTCTCCCTCTCCTTCCTCTCTCTCTCTGCCTCTCCTTCTCTCTCTGTGTAATTCTGACTTTCAAATAAATAAATAAATCTTTAAAAAATAATTTTTCTTAACATTTGTTTCTGATGTAGAAATGCTTATAGAAATACTACCTGTACACTGAGTTTACATATTGCCATCTTGCTATTATTAATTCTGATAATTTTTCTGTAGGTTCTTAGAGGGTTTTCTCTATAGGTAGTCATATCATTTGTGAATGATGACAATTTGGACTTTTTCTTCCAAAGCTTTTTTTTTAAAAAGATTTTATCTATTTATTTGAAAGTCAGAATTACACAGAGAGGAGAGGCAAAGAGAAAGAGAGAGGTCTTCCATCCGATGGTTCACTCCTCAGTTGGCCGGAGCTGTGCTGATCTGAAGCCAAGAGCCAGGAGCTTCTTCCAGGTCTCCCACGTGGATGTAGGGGCCCAAGGACTTGGGCCATCTTCCACTGTCTTCCCAGGCCATAGCAGAGAGCTGGATCAGAAGCGAAGCTGCCAGGACTTGAACTGGCACCCATATGGGATGCTGGCGCTTCAGGCCAGGGCATTAACCTGCTGCACCACAGCCCGACCCCTTCCAAAACTTTTAATTGTTATGTCTTTTACTGTTGTTTGGCCACATGGTATAAGACCTACAGTATAAAGCTGAATGGCCTTTATACTGTATATTAAAAGGTTAATGAATATTTTTTTAATTTAAAGAGACTACTAATATTTTATTTAGTTAATTATGTTAGTTGAGTTTTGGTAGACATTCTTGGATTAAGTAAACCTACTATTTTTATGTTGTAAAGAGTTTTTATTATGAATTAATGTTGAATTTTATGTCTTTTCCTGCACTTAATGATATAATCACATGGTCTTTCTCTTTATTTTATTAGTTTGGTACTTTGTGTGGCTGCATTTACTAATAGTAACCCAACACTGCATTTCTTCTGTAAGCCACAGTTAGTGATAATGGATTATAATTTTACATGTTTTGAAAATTGGCTTGCCAACATTTAATACAGAATTTTTCTATCTAGGTTCATGAATTGCATTGGTCTTTAATTTGCCTTTCTTATATAGTTATTAACTGTGTTTAATCCTAAAATGAAGTGAGAAGTATTCCCATTCTTGAAGGAGGATATATGAAACTGCAGAGATCTGTTCCCCAAATGTTTGGTTGCAAAAAGTGCAGGAATGTGTATGTGTGTGTGAAATGACTAAAAACGTTTTTGGTTGAGTTTTGCTGGTTATTTAGGCTTTTCATCTGTTTTAGTGGCAGTACTTGGAATTTGTAAAACTGTAGGCTTTAGAAATATATTTGCACACAGTTATATATACTTTTGCCTTAGTTTTTAAACCTCTGCTGCTGCATCTGTAATTATATCCCTTTTTATCTGTAACATCATTGATTCATGCCTTTTTTTTTTTTTTTTTTTTTTTTTTTTTTTTTTTAAATCTCACTCTCACACGATATCTGGTCCTTTCAAATCACCAAACTTTGACTTTGTTTGTACTCTATTTTAACTCCCATCTTCTGAGATTTTTACTGATGGATGAAAAAGACCCTAACTGATAATTAGGCTTAGGAGCCTTTGTATTTCTGGTTCTACCACTAACTGTGCACCCTTGGGCACTTCCTGCTACTCTCTGGACCTCTGCTTTTCCATCTGTTGAGTGTACCTTGGGTTGGGCTCCCCTCCCTCCCCTCCCCCACAGCGTTTTTTTTCCAAATGGTTCAGAGTTGTATTATCTTGGGTCATGATTTTTTGCTTGGTACAATTATGCCATTTTCTCATCTAAGAATCATCTCATAATTTAAAGAATGATATGACTGTGAGAGATGCTTAGGAAGACATTTCTAGGCAGAACTGAATTTATTTTTTTTGTTTTGTTTTTGTTTTTTGTTTTTGACAGGCAGAGTGGAGAGTGAGAGAGAGAGACAGAGAGAAAGGTCTTCCTTTTTGCCGTTGGTTCACCCACAATGGCCTCTGCGGCCGGCGCATCGCGCTGATCCGAAGGCAGGAGCCAGGTGCTTCTCCTGGTCTCCCATGTGGGTGCAGGGCCCAAGGACCTGGGCCATCCTCCACTGCACTCCCGGGCCATAGCAGAGAGCTAACCTGGAAGAGGGGCAACCGGGATAGAATCTGGCGCCCCGACCGGGACTAGAACCTGGGGTGCCGGCGCCACAAGGCAGAGGATTAGCCTATTGAGCCATGGCGCTGGCCAGAATTGAATTTAAATCAGCCTCCAAATATGACTTTCTGTCCTACTTTTATTGTAATATTTGATCTGAAAGTACACAAAATTAATCAATTGCTTTTACTTTGTGACTACAAAATATCAACTCTACCATCTCTATGTATCAACTCTACCATAATCAGTAATTATTTTTATATCATTAAAGTAATTAAAATTACTTTAAAGACAGAATTAATTTAGACTTTTTTGAACTTATAACCAATCTGTTATAAACAAATTAATTCCAATCTTAAAAACACAGTTACACCAAGTACAGATAAGAAAGTACAAGGAACTCATTGATTATGCTATACCAAACAGATGAAAAGCAAAATTGATTTTCCACTGTAGGCCTAAATGAATAACAAAAATCCTTCCCATTTTTCCTACATGTATGATCAGATTTCTTATACAAATAGCATTTATTATAACCAGTGCTTCATTTAATTCACGTCAGTAATATGAACTCCTTAGGAAAAAAAGATTGATTGCAAGCTCATAACCAACTCTGAAATTTTTTGCTTATTTTTTCCTTCTTGTATCAATTTCCTGACATATTTAATGTAAGCAGGAAAATCTTCTCAATAACTGAGCACATGAATCTACTAGGATCTTACAGAAATCTGCCCAGTTACATACATCCCATGTTGCTCTTGGTTTCCCTTCTCATCTTTGCTTCTAACCCCCATGCAAGCTTTTTTTTATGAACAGTTTGAATTTTCAGCCTCCTTTTTGGCTTTTACAAACTTGTGGCAGGCAATTGCTTTGGCAATTTTCACACCAAACTCGCGGCACATAGCTAGCTGGTTGCCGAGCTCCCAGACTTCTTAACCTCCCACTCCTCCACAGCCTGGTTGATTCTCCTTTCAAAGCCCAATACCTCAACTTTTTCCTTTTTAACAGAGGGTTCAAATCAATCATTGACTCCAGAATACTGAGTAAGCTCTTTCCATGGGGTTTCATTTGAGGACTGTTCGCCAGGAGATTGTTTTCCATTCTTCAATTTATCTTTTCTGAAATGGTTTCTTTTTTCCCTCTGAATTTTGAGGTTGAGATTTTTTTGTTCAGGATGTTTTTGATACATTTCTTGAAATTCATTCCACGTCTTAAGGGAATTCCAGAAGGACATACCTTATATGCATTTACAATCATCTCTGTTTCAGTTTTTGGTCCATCTGTTGGGAAATCTGAGATTTCTGTGTTCTTAATGGTCCCATCCTCTTCATCCTCCTGGGAGTTAAGTCCAGAGTTATCTGGTGTGGCTTCATCTTTAGAGTTTGAGTCAACATCATTTTCATTTAGGTCAGGAGGCAGCCGCCCACTCAACATCTTTTCTTAAGGTTCAAGACAGCAAGAGAGTGGCTTTAAGAAGGGACACATCTACCGGCTCAGCTGCACGACCCACCTGAACTCCGCAGGGTCTTGGTGGCAGTGCCCCACTCTGGCCCCAAACCGGAGGAATCAGCTAATTGCCACCGACAGCAGCGCAACCACTCCAGCAGGCTGGCGTTCCCATGAAATGGAGCAGTCAGGCAGTGGCTGACTGGCAGCCATCTTACCACCCGTCAACCGGGTTGGACTATATTAATTGCCAATATACTTGTGTCAGAGGACTAAAATATTTGAAGGGACTGCTGCCTGATGTATCACTGGGGAGATACAAGCTCTCTAGGAGCTTGAAGGGGTGCACACACCTTTAGCTCCCCTGCCTTTAGCTAAGGCTCATCACGATGGCCAGATAATGAGTACTAGGTGAGCTCTCAGACATACCGAGGTAGATGTAAGGGTAATCACTGACGTTCAGTAAGTTATAGTCAATTAAAGTCACTATGAACAACCGACAACAAGCAAATGCCAGTAAGTCAGTGGTTAGTCAAAATGCTTGACCACTGGGAGGGTCAGGTTAGTTTTCAAGTTGAAAGAAGGTCAAGCTTGGATCCAGTACTATAAACAGTTACAATTTCCATGCTGAGAGGTTCTGTAGTACACTGGGAACACTTGGACATCAGTAACGTGATTGGCCTGGCCCGGACAGAGTTCCGAGTTCTGGGTCCATGAGTTAAGAATGTGGGTGGACCTAGGGAAGGGGTAGGAGGGAAGTGAATGAGGAGCGAGCCTAGAGGAGAGAAGTTGCTTATTATTAATTAATTCTGATGTGATTTATTTTCTTCCTACATGACAATTTTGGGACTTCATACAGTATTTTAGCTTATTTGGTTCAAATGAACTGAGAGTTTACAATGTGCATGAAGCAACATGGGGTCAATGAGGATATAGTAAATGGAGAAAAAGACTTGAAATTTAAGCTGATACACTGGAGAATTGGATGACACTTATTGTGGAAGACTTCTTGGAGGAGGTGTTTCTTGATTTAAGGTTTAATGAGCCAGGCAAGGGAAGAAGTGCTGTTCCTCCCAGGTCTAACACAGATGTCCCTTCTCACGGGGCTGGGGAGGCTGCCGGACCTGGTGAGCAGGTCCCAGGAGTGCCAATGCAGGAGACACTTGTGGTCCACTCCCCCAGGTGGTGATTCTGTGCCCCTTCACTGGCATCCAGCAGACCTTCCCTTGCAGCAACTGGCTGGACGAGAAGAAAGCTGATGGGCTGATCGAGAGGCAGCTCTACGAGATGGTCTCACTCAGGAAAAAGCGGCTGAAAAGTAAGCAGAAGGGCCTCAAAGCTAAGACCTCTTCGACAGGCCAGCCAAGGCCAGGATATCACACCAATGGCCAAAAGCCTCGAGGGCTCCACTTGTGCCTTTTAGCTCTTTTTGGGAAGGGGGTGCCCTCCAGGGAACAAAATTATTTAAGGTACAGGCCATACTGAGTTACACACCTGGCACCTATCATCACTCCAGTGGCCCCACATAGAAGAAGCTGCTGGAGACCGGCATAGTGGCACAGCAGGTTCAGCCACCACTCTTGATGCTGGCATCCCAAAGTTCCAGCTGCTCCACTTCCCATCTAACTCCTTGATAATGTGCATGGGAAAGTAGAAGAAGATGGCCCAAGTGTTTGGGTCCTTGCCATCCAGGTGGGAGACCCAGATTGAGTTCCTGGCTCCTGGCTCCTGGCTTTGACCTGGCCCAGCTGTGCCCAGACCCCAACTTTGCCTGAACCAATGGATGGAAGATCCCTCTCTTTGTCTTTCTGTCACTCTAACTTTCAAATAAGTAAGTAAATCTTTAGAAAAAAAATAGAAAAAGGAGCTACTGTTATGGGCTAGGAGTTGAACTGAGTGTCCTCTACAGTACACTGGAACTGGGGTGGGAGGAGTCTACTTTTCTCCCACTTAAAACATGCTAATAGGCTTTAGTCATTGAAAATAACATCAAAGCTCCTATTTTTCACGAGAAGGAGCCCTTGGCTTTCTAAGTCTGCCCCTTGTTAGGATGGGTTCTGGGGTGGAGGGACACACCTGTGTATAATCTGTCCTTCTGTCCTGATCACCTGTGGTTTTCTCCACCTCCCACTGGGAAACATGAAAGTCTCTTCATTTGCTTTCGTGCCACTGTTTTGTAGAATTCCCTTGGTCCCTGTGGGTCTGGACGACTGACCTGAAGAAAGCTGGGACCAACTCTCCCATCTTCATCCAGATTTACGGGCAAAAGGGGCGGACAGACGAGATTCTCCTGAACCCCAACAACAAGTGGTTCAAACCGGGCATCATCGAGAAGTTTAGGGTAGGCGAGAAGTGTGACAGGGTGAGAAGGAAAGGGCGGGGGCAAGAGACAAAAGAGGTATCTGTTATGGGGATGCTGGTTTTCCAAGTTAGGTTGTGGATCAGGTTTGAAGACAAAAAGGTACAATGGCATCTTGAGGCCCCTGTGAAGGGTGACAGATGCATTGATTAGTAGGCAGCGCATTGAATGGGATGCAGTCTTGATCTGGTCTCAGTCTCACAGGCTAGAACCAAGCCTGACGGGAGAAGCTGGTATGGGCTGGTGTTGGGTGACATGGGAATCCCTGTGGAGCAGAGACCAGATCCCAGTTAGAGTCAGACTGCCCCATCCAGGCTACATTAGAGGTAAGGACCAAATTTAAAGAAAAGTGGGAATTTTAGAATCTGTAGAAATAAATTTAGCTTTAAAACTTCCCAGGATTTGTAGAATTAGAGCAAGTCTTTTTTTTTTTTTTTTTTTCTGGCCAATGGAAGTACTGTGCTGTTGACCTTTAGGTTGGAATAATTTGTCATTACTGCTCTTGTCTCAGAGCTGCCGGGCTGAGCCTCTGTTACAATCCCTCTGTTCATTGCTCTTCATGTTTTTGTCTTCCCTGCCAGACTGGGGACCCCTAGGGAAAGGGCTTGACCTCCTCATTGATCCCTTTGTCTCTTTCAGTGCCCAGGAGAGTCCTGGGGCTGTGAGCCTGTGCTCATTTGCAAGGCTGCTCTATGGATTTTGTTACTGGAAGTTTATTGCTTGGAGGACCTGTTTTAGACAGGATCCCACTGTGAGCTGGTTATTTTTGTTCAGCTGCCCCAGCCCAGACTGAACCCAAAGCTCTACGTGACTGCCTTGTGCTTCTGTGCTACTGGCTACAAGGGCGTGGCAGGGTAGAATGTGTAAGGGTGGCTTGAAGCAGACCCACCCTCACTGCCGAAGAAACAGCCCACAGCAAGTATCCTTCTGGCCATGGGTCAGCTATGAGGACAAACACATGGCCTTGCTGTCCCCTTAAAAATATTTTTGTTTCTCACCCTAGATTGAGCTCCCAGATCTTGGCAGATTTTATAAGATTCGGGCATGGCATGACAGACGGAATCCTGGTTCTGGATGGCACCTAGAGAAGGTGAGCTGGCTGCCTTGGGGGCTGAGAGGTGGTTGGGAGAGAAACCAGAATGGCTCCCTTCTGAAACACTGTCATATACATTTACCTGTGTACTTACTGGGAGTGAGAGTGGGGAAGGGTTATGGTGAGACCTGACTATGGATACAGGCCATAGGAACTTCCTGGTGGAGAGAGTAGCCTGAGAAGGTACTCAGGTGTTTGGGGGCTTGCGTTCTGCCCAGTCACCTGGCAGCTAGGGAACCAGGGGGAGAAATACTAAGTTGCCCCTCTGCCTTCCACAAGGCTCCCTTCCAAGAGAAGGCCTTGGCCTTCCTGAGATGAGATAGGAAAAAGGGGACTCCAGGGCCCGGGTGACTATCTCTGATCCACCCACATGCTCACCCCAGGACTTCATTCCAGATGACCCTGATGAACACCCTGAACAAGCACAAGTACAACTTCAACTGCAACCGCTGGCTGGATGCCAACGAGGATGACAATGAGATTGTGAGGGAAATGACTGCAGAGGGCCCCACAGTGCGAAGAATAATGGGCAGTAAGTACAGATCAAGTCTCTGTCCTGGGGAGGTGGTGAGACTCCTACTTGGTGTGTCGGTAGGGGTCTGACCCTTGAGCTGATAGTCTTACCTGCTTTGCGTCATTAGGCTCCTTCTGAATACTAGAGAGGACTTAGAAACTCCCACATCTACACTGGCTTGCAGAAGCCATCTCCAGGGCTGGAGATCTACTAGGATGGGTGTGGTAGGGAGGTGGGGTGAGATTTATGGGTCTTCAGGTGGGCTGTGGAGGGGTTAAAAAGGATCTGTACCAAACTGTAGTTCTCTAGAGACTCTTGAATTTTCGAGGAAATGTCTTGTTTCCCTCAAGGTATTCATGAAATGCTTCCCAAAAGGAAGGCTGGATCTAGGTTCTTGTAGCCTCACTTGACTGCCATCTCATGAATTTTCTCTGTTTGAGGCCAACAGGAATGAGACTAAGCTTTTAATATGGAGCCAAGAATCCATAATCAAAGGGCCAAAGGCAGGTCATTTTGCCTCTAGGTTATAATAATATTGCTGGCAAGCACACAGAACCTGCCCTTTATCAATGGCAGACATTATTAAGTGAACACAACATTCTCTCCCATTGAGTCTGAAATGAGCCTTGTAGCCCTCAATGTATATAGCATTCCACTCCAAGCAGACATTACTAATCAATCAGAATTGACACAGAAGATAATCAACCTATTTTCTATCTCTTTTTAAAAATATCATTTATTGGGGCCAGCGCCGAAGCGCATTAGGTTAATCCTCCGCCTGCGCCGCTGGCATCCCATATGGGTGCCGGTTCTAGTCCTGGCTGCTCCTCTTCAGTCCAACTCTCTGCTATGACCTGGGAAAACAGTGGAAGATGGCCCAGGTTGTTGGGCCCCTGCACCCACGTGGGAGACCAGGAAGAAGCTCCTGGCTCCTGGCCATTTGGGGAGTGAACCAACGGAAGGAAGACCTTTCTCTCTGTCTCTTCCTCTTACTGTCTGTAACTCTAAATCTCAAATAAAATAAATTAAATCTTTTAAAAAATATCATTATTTGAAAGGCAGTTATAGAGATAGAGGGGGAGAGGCAGAGACAGAGAGAAAGATCTTTTGTTTGCTAGTTCACTCCCTGAATGGTCCCAATGGCTGGAACTGGCTCCAGGCTGAAGCAAGGAGCCTAGAACTCCATCCAGGTCACCCATGTGGGTACCAGGGCCAAAGTATTTGGGCTAACTTTCCGCTGCTTTTCCAGGAGCATTAGCAAAGAGCTGGATTGGAAGTGGAGCAGCTGGGATTCGCAAAGCAGCATTCATATGGGATGCTAACATTGCAGACAGTGGCTTAACCCACTATACCACAATACCACCCTCCCTATTTTATATCTTTGTGGTAGTCCTTAATTTAAAAAATTGCTTATTTAATTTTGTTTATTTGAAAACCAGTGAGAGAGGGAGACAGAGACAGACAAATCTGACCAAGAGAACCCCCCTCAGGGGTTCACTCCCCAAATGCTTGCAATAGCCGGGGCTGGTCCAGGCCCAAGTCAGGACCTGAGAACTCAGTCCTGATTTCCCACATGATTTGCAAGGACCAAATCACTTGAACTATCACCTGCTGCCTGTGCATTAGCAAGAAGCTTGAATTGGGAACAGAGCTGGTACCTAAACCCAGGCGTTCCAATAAGGGATGCAGGTGTCCTAAGCTATGTATTAATTGCCGTACCAAAAATCTGCCTCTCTTAATTTTTTAGTAGTAAAAAGTTGTAATATAGAGAGGATGGTGTCACCCATGGTTCTAGTAGCCCTTCTAAGAATATCAACAGTGTCACTTCACAGGTGATGCTGCAGTACATGTGAGCAGTCTGCATTTGCACATCCACTGAAAGTTCTTGTATAGATTTGTTGAAATGATTTGATTGGAGTTAAATACCCCCAAACATGGAAACCCCAAAGAGCAAACATTTAAAAAGAGGTCATCCAGCTCGTCTAATTAGGTACCATGGTTCCTCTATTTTATGAATCATATTCATTCCTAATTAAATACATGACTGTAGAATATTTGTGGTCAAAGCCCCTTAATATTTCCTGATGACAAGCTGAGCAAGTTCTTAACCATGAACACAGTCAGTGACAATCAGACCTAGAACAGGATTTCTTGCTTTATTGTTCAGTGGCTATCCCAAGACACTTCCTTGCCTTTAAAAAATTTATTTAAGAGGCAGAGAGACAGATGGACATATAGACAGGCAGGTAGACAGATAGAGAACTTGTATCTGCTGGTTCATTCCCTAGCTGGGGCTACAAGCAAAGAAGTGGGAGCTGGGAACTGAATCCAGGTCTTCCACATGAGTGAAGCCCAGTTTCTTGAGCCATCACTGCTGCCTGCCAGAGTGTACAGTGGTGGAAGCAGGAGTCAAGAGCTGGAGCCAGGTATAAGTCCAGGTACTGTGATGTGGGATGTGGGCATCTCAATCATGTGGCTAAATGCCCACACTCACCACGCTGCCTCTACATATTCAGCAGTATTTGCTTTAGAAATGAGGCAATAGTTTCTCTGTAAATATGATAATAGTGTGTGATTCCTCCTCGAAACCTCCCCAGATTGGGACTTTATTTAGCACATTATCTATTGAGGCTGAATCACACCTGTGCTTTCCTGATCTGTCTACTTTGTGTGCCGGACTGAACCTGCAGGGTTAAAGACCTGGGGAGAAGGTCTTGGAATCTAAACGCTTTGTGAGCCTTTCTAGCCAAATCCCATGGTTTTAGCTGCTCCTCAGTTCCTGCTGCTGAAATTGCCTGCTGCTATCATTCCTTGAGGTTTGCAGCTGATAGCTCTGATCAGTCTTCGCGTATTTGCTAAGTCAGGGGTTCTCAAACTTGGGCGTGTGTCATCACCTGGATCATCTGTGAAAATGCAGACTGCTGTAACCACGGGCAGAGTTTCTGATTCAGTCAGTTTGGGGTGGGACTCAGGAGTCTGTTTACTGAATTCCATGTCATGCTAATGTTGCCTGTAGGGTCCTGCATTTTGAGAACTACTGTACTAAAGCATTTGCCCCTTTGTCTAGCTGCCTTAAGGCATCCAAAACTTGGTCCTGTTGTGTCTACTTGTCCCCCTTGCCTAGCCTTGTTGGTATAGTCTTTTATTGTTTGATTAAGTCTTTAAATTAATGTGTATGTTGTCATTTCAGTGAAGTTTTCCAGAGAGAAATTTCCATTTTACTGAGAGAGCCTAGAATGTTCTTTACCTGCACCCCTCATTGCCTTGACAGAAGCATGCATGAATTTCCCTCAAGAACTCTGTTTTCCCTCCTTATAAACTGTGAAGCCAGGTGGGAGGTCTGTTCTTCTGACTTCTGCGCTTCCATACTTCACCTGAGACTCAGGCCATCCCACAGTGCTGCCTCCTTCCCCGCTTTCACGGAAAATGGCACAAACAACTCTGGTTATTGTACAGCGCCCAGCCCCACCATAGTCCTAGGGCAGTGTATTAGTCTGTTAGGGCTGTCATCTTTAAGTCAACAGACCAGGTGGCTTAACCAACAGAAATTGATTTTCTTACTGTTCTGGAAGAGCAAGGTTGGTGTCATTGAAAGCCTCTTACCTTGGCCTACAGGTGGCCCCCTTCTCCCTGTGTCCTCCATCATCTTCCCTCTGCGCCTGTGCCCATTTGTGTCCTAATTCCCTCATATAAGGTCACCAGTGATCATGGATGAGCCCTACCCCCCAACCCCCGCCATATGATCTCTTGTTACTTTAGTTACTTCTTTAGAGCCCCCATCACCAGATACAGCCCCAAGCTGGGTTACTGGGGATTAGGATTCACCATTTGAATATGGGCTGGGGAGCTCAGCTCAGCTTATTGTAGACAGTGTCTCTTAGAGTACAGTCAAGGGCTCATCTATGTCAACCTTGCCTGGAGTATTTATTAAAAGGGTCCAACCTTGCTATGCTGAGGTTCCCTGAGGCTATGCCCAGTCATGTTTATTTTATCAAGCAACTTTTATGCAAATTAAAACATAAGGGGTCTTTGTGTCTTTTAGTGTCCCTGTGGAACCCTGACATGCACATCCTGGCACTCATATGCCTTGTTGACCTCCACCCCCTTCCACTTAAGCTCATCACCCCTGCATGCTTCACTATCTCCCACAAAGATGCCCGACCTCTGACTCAGACCCCTTTGTCCTAGCCCCCTTATGACTTCCATGTACTTCACCTCACCTGTGAATTCCTCCCAGCTCTTTCCTCCCCACCTTTCTTCTGGTCTGTTGGGGCTGTCACACAGCTGTGCGGAAAAATGGATTTGAGAGGCAAACCTACAACCTGTCATCTGGCAGAGAAAAAAAGGTCTTGAAATCAGGCAGGGGTTGTATAAACCAGAGGAGAGAAAATATATTCAAGAAATATTCTGCAGGTGGAACAGGTAGGGCATGGAGACTGAAGGCTGTGGAAATCAACTCCCCACCAGGGAGCTGGAGGAACTTTGCATATGCAGTGACATCTGAGCCACGTCTTCTGTGGGCAGAGATGTGACAGCGAAGATGAGACCATGGAAGGGAGCGGGGAAGGAAGAACATTCCATAGGTTACATGTATAAACTGCCCATAGTATCTTAAACAGTGCACACTGAATAGAGCTGTAGTAGCTGTTAGTTGGTTTTGGTCTTCTGTGGTACTCAAACAAATCTGGTGGTTAGCATAGGTTGAAGGGCTGTCTGTCCTGGCTCTCAAGGACACTTGATGTCTTCTGGGGCTCTGTAGCAGGCCTTGGGAGCCTATACATACTTGAATTTCTCTGTGCTTGGAACACACCTATTTCCTCACTCACCTCTACAAGCACTCATATCTCCTTAGCTGCTCTGGATGCTTCTTTGTAGCTGTACTTGGAGCTGGTGGCAATGTCACATTTCCCCAGTTGTGCGTTCCCCATAATGTACAAGAAGTCCCTTAAGTGGAGAGGCTTAGACTCCTGTAAAATGAGTAAATATCAATTTAAATCAACTCTCTGAATCTGAAGTTG